AAGTTCTAAGAGATGGCAGGCGTGTGGGAGAAAACTAATTTCATGCCCTACAATACAAAAATATCATTGCGACGGGCAATTCCTTAAATTGTTCAGAACCGACATGTACTAATTAGTTACAGTTAGAGAAAACTAATATGAATGTTAGCATCATGATATTTTTCCTTTTTGGAGGGTATAGTTTCATGAGATATCAATGAAATAGAATAAGTTTTATTTACAAAACACAATCCCTCGACATCGATCAACACACTTGAGAACTCAAACTATTAAAAACAATCAGATGATGACATAAAACATAACATCCCAGTTCCCATGCGCACATACAAAATACATATGACTTCATAACAATGAATTGGGGGCAAGAGTCTTCTTCATCCAGAAATATCAACGACCTTTCACGTAAGGGTTTCATCTCACGACTTCAATTGATTTTGGGTGAGGAGTGTTTGGTTGAAGTGTGGGAGAAATGACATGGCATTTAACTTCCAGCTACAAAATCCGTCATCTATATGTGTAGTGGTTAATGACATTTTGTTTTACTTAGTGAGTAATGGAGTGCAATGGGAGGTACGGTGATTAATGGAGTGCAAGTTACAGTACAGTGAGTGAAACGTGACATTATTGATTTCGGCATATGAAAAATTAAAGACATATGAACTATCGACACCCGACAGTTCACCGGAGTCATTCTCGGCAGATGATTGGATCTCGACAGATGATCTATCGCAACCCGATAGTTAACTGCAGTCATTCTCGACAGATGACATAATCTCTACTGTGTGAACTATCGAGAACAAAGAGTTCTTCAGTGGTTGTCGACCCTTTAACAGTTACACATGTTTCTCATTTCTTTTCGTGCAGTTGTAATATATTATTTTGTGTGTTATAAAGTGCAAGATTACTGTTCATATTCGTTGTATTCTTTTATATGGTGTTCGCATTCATTCAAAATTGTTGTTTCATAATTTATTTTTTCCCTTACCATGTACATGTGCTCTAACTCNGATTACTGTTCATATTCGTTTTATTCTTTTATATGGTGTTCGCATTCATTCAAAATTGTTGTTTCATAATTTATTTTTTACCTTACCATGTACATGTACCAAAAATCACGATCTCATATCTTTTTTTTTTCTTGATGTACCTTGCAGAAGAGATGAATTTTGAATAGGAAGTACCTAAAAACGTACGGTTGCGGGCCTGTATTTCACAGTGGAGCAACCTTAAGTATGTAAAAAGGGTTTTGGACCTTTTCGACGAGCGGCAGCTCCGGGACTTCCGCGAATCATGCCTCGGGTTCCTTGCCGAAGTCCTAGACATCCAGTTCTCTGCACAGCTGCTCCAACAACTTGTCTTCAGATCAATACGGACGGATAAGGTGAAGGAGTTGTGGTTCAATGTGCAAGGCCACTTGACTCGATTTGGACTGCAAGAGTATGTAGTCATTACGGGCTTACGATGTACTCTCCCTCCGGAGGGCGATGTCTTTACCCAAGTCTTGGAAAAGAAGAGACTTAAGGAAAAATACTTTAAATCACATGACAAGATTTCATGTGCCCACCTTGAAAAGACATTGCTCCGATCCTCTACGCCCTAGGCTGATCGGTACAAGCTCGGGCTTGCTCTCATTGTTGAAGGAGTATTCTACGCTCCGGAAAATAATGTGGGTATATCTGAGGCGACATTGTCAATCGTCGATGACCTGGACTTCTTTTTTGCTACCCTTAGGGTAGAGTTGGATACAATCGTCTGTTGAAAGGCTTTCGGGGTGGCTGGGCATGGAAATTTCGCGACTCCAAGAGAAAGAATGAGAAGGAGATCAGCTATACAGTTCATGGTTTCCCCATCGCGCTGCAGGTACTAAGTATTATTTTAGACATTGTTTTATTTTAATTCTACGCATCTATCCACAGTCATGCCCAAGCAATGTCACGTGACAATGCTTTTCTGCTGCGACAGATATGGGCATTCAAGGCGATACCGGAAATTGGAGAACGGTTTGCTCAGCAGGTTGGGGAACGATTGCCTCGGCTTCTAAGTTGGACGGCTGCAAAACAACCGCAACAACGTACATACGATACGTTCTTGAAGAACACACAGGTACTCTTTTAGAACCTGCACTCGTATACATTTTAATTGCTAATGCACACAAATTACATGTTTCATTGATGCCATTTTCCTTTGGTTGCAGCTGCACGTACATGCCACACTGCGGCCCACTAAAGCCGAGTTTGCCCAACCATATATCTCCACTCTCATGCCGTATGAAGATCGTTCTGTGCCCACTTTGGACGACATTGCCCGGAACATGGTCGCTCCACAGTTTGCCGAAGAGGCATTGGGCAGTGGACATAATGACCATTTCTCTACGGGGGAAATGACGAATATGAGACGGGTGGAGGCTCCGACGAAGATGAGACTGGTCGAGATGTCGATGAAGACGAGTCCAGCGATGACGAGAGTGGAGACGGTGTCGCTCAGCATTCACGTGACGAGCACGCGGCAATACAAACTTCCCACGAGAGTGGACCTTCGACATCTCGAGGACAGCGTGCCACTTCACGAGCAATCCTGATGAGAGAGGATGTCAAGGAACTATTGTTGGATCAACGAACCCTTATGGAAATGCGCCTTCGGACCATTAAACTTGAAATCATAGAACACGTGAGCGCTGAATTGAGGAGACAGATGGAGTTCATATCTACACTTGTGAATTCAAGTGGTACTAATGGCACAGTAGCCCACATGACGTCCCCAACCAGGCCACAGATTCAGAACCTACACCGCACGGTATGTGTTACATGTTCACGAGTTACGATTACTAAGTGTAACGTGATTTTATCAGCAGTGTAGATGTGTTTCGCGACACGTTTAATGATTGTTTCTATGACATAGACACACATGGAGGAGCCACTCACCCAGAACCGGATGATCGTGACTGGACATTGCCCGAGGCGGGCCTCGAAGACACTGGTACGTGCATTGATTATGAACAGTGTTGTTATTCTTCTCATATGTATCAACGCTATATTTTGCATCTGTCTTCAACTCCTTCACGTTATTCCAAATATTCTGAAATAGGTGGTGGATGCATCGACACGTTACCGGCTGGAGGAGACATCTACCCGTTCTCGCACGATGTGCACAACGATCCTATACCGTCATCATTTTCACATTCAGATACATGTAGAACTTTTGTACACACTACAACTACTAAGCATTGTTTTTCTTCTGTAGTATACAAACTACAAATCGATCACATGAGATGTTAATATTGCAAATGTTGTTTTCAACCAGATGGAGGAGACATCGAGACCGAAGGTCCGTCGCCGAACAACCTGGAAGGTCTGTTGCCTAGTTAGAAGCAGGATGTTCATGGTACGTATGTGCCACACGAAGAATTCAAAATGTTTAAGATTCTAATCTTGTTTTGTAGTATAGAAAATAGAAATCGATGACATGATTCGTCAACATTGCAAATGTTACTTTCAACCAGATCGAGGAGACATCGACCCCGAAGTGAAATGCCCGGATAACGAGGACGTTCCCTCAGAATTTCCCGTTATGGAGGCGGATGGAAGTTTAGTACAACATTTAGGTTATAATGTGTTGAATTTTTTTAATAGACTATAAGAATGTTAAGATGAAAACTAATGTTGAATATCTTCTCA